CCGTGTCCCTGAGGTGTCCCCGTGTCCCTGGGGTGTCCCCGTGTCCCCGGGGTGTCCCCGTGTCCCTGGGGGTGTCCCTGTGTCCCAGCCCTGCCCTCCCTGCAGGCGGAAGCTGGACCTGTTTGCCAACGTGGTGCACGTGAAGAGCCTGCCCGGGTACCAGACCCGGCACAACAACCTGGACCTGGTGATCATCCGCGAGCAGACCGAGGGCGAGTACAGCTCCCTGGAGCACGAGGTGGGCACTGCCAGGGCCTGGCACGGCTGGGAATGGCCAGCCTGGAGAAGGGGAGGATCCAGGGACACCTTGGAGCCCCTTCCAGGGCCTGAAGGGGCTCCGGGAGAGCTGGAGAGGGACTGGGGACAAGGCAGGGAGGGACAGCACACAGGGAATGGCTTCCCACTGCCAGAGGGCAGGGATAGGTGGGATATTGGGAAGGAATTCCTCCCTGGGAGGGTGGGGAGGGACTGGAATGGATTTCCCAGAGAAGCTGTGGCTGCCCCTGGATCCCTGGGAGTGTGCAAGGCCTGGGATAGTGGGAGGTGTCCCTGGGTGAGCCTGGATGAGCTCTTAGTTCTCTCCAACCCAAACCATTCCACGATTCCCTGATTCCATGCTGAGCACAGTGTGGAAGCGCCTGGAGCAGCAGTGATGGAATTACAGGAGTTTTTAGGGATATGAACACGCCCAGCCCCAGTGAGGATGGTGCTGCAGGAGGGATAGTGCCAGGAAAAAGGGACAAGGGGACATGGATGTTGTCCTGGGTTGACCCCAGCCCTCAGTACCCCCCTCTCCCTTCCCAGATGGAGGAGAACAGGAAAAAAAAGGTGAACGTGGGTTGGGATAAGAAAAATTTAATAATTGAAACAAAATAATAATAATAGCAGCAATACTGATGCCAACTACTAGTATTGAAATATAAATATTGTTAATACAATTATAATATACATACAAGGATAATACAGATAATAACACATTATACATAATAAATTACATAAATGCAATATAATAAATATAATGATGAGGAGAGGGAGATGAACAGACCCCAGGTGGGGGTGATGCCCAGTCACTCTCCCACCACCCACTGACCAGTGCCCAGCAGTGACTGCTCCCCCCCAGTTTCTGTCCTGGGCAGGACATTCTGTGAGCTGGGACACCCCTTTGGCCAGTCCTGCCCCAAATTCTCATGCCCTGGCAGAGGGAAGGGGCACTGAAATGTCCTTAATTTGGGGTGAGCAACCCCCACAACATCTGCCTGTTGCCATCATCATCCTCACCCTAAATCCCAGCCTCTGGGGACAGAACTCTGTCCAGCCCAAGCCAGGGGGGTGCTGGGGACCTGCTGGGGGGGCTGTGCTGTGTGTGACCCCCTGTGTGCCCCCAGAGTGACCCACTGAGGGGGCTGTGCTGTGTGTGACCCCCCGTGTGCCCCCCCTGTGCCCCCAGAGTGACCCACTGAGGGGGCTGAGGGTGCTGTGCTGTGTGTGACCCCCGTGTGCCCCCCCTGTGCCCCCAGAGTGTGAAGGGGGTGATCGAGTGCCTGAAGATCATCACCCGCGCCAAGTCCCAGCGCATCGCCAAGTTCGCCTTCGACTACGCCACCAAGAAGGGCCGGGCCAAGGTCACAGCCGTGCACAAGGCCAACATCATGTGAGTGCCCTGGGGACACCGCTGTCCCCTCGGGGCTGGGGACACCCCTGGGATCCCGTGTGCAGTGTGTGGTGTCAGCAGTGTCACAGGGCCTGCAGCGAGCGGGGCACGGATCTGGGGCTGAGCAGGTACCGATGACTGGGATTGTGCAGCAGCTCCAGAACAAAGCTGTCCTCTCCCACCTCTGCACAGCCTGAGCTCTGACAGGGAGGTCATGGACACTCCCATGACTTGGGGGGCCGTGTGTGAGCAGTCAGTTCCTGTCCCACAGTTTGCCATGTGGGAATCTGACGGGGGTGCGTTAACTGACCAAACCTGGAATTAGCACCTTCCTGATGTAAATTCTGCCATCTGTGCTTACCTCAAGTTCCTGCTGTGCTGGTTTATCCCCTGGGAGGTTCCTTTTTGTGGCCTTGACGGTGCTTGAGACAGGGAATTGTGCTCTCCAAGTCCTTCCAGGTGTGTTTACCTGGCACAAACCACATTCCTCTCAGAGATGGCAGAAAGGGAGAGAGGGGCTGGGGGGGGGAGGAACAAAGCAGCACCAGAAACCCCAGCTCTTATCACAGACCCCAGTTCCAGTTGGGCAGTGCCTGTTGGACCCCTGGTGCCAGAAGGATTCCCCTGTTTCCCACCAACCCTTCCCGGTGTTTGCCCTCTGCAGGAAGCTGGGGGACGGGCTGTTCCTGCAGTGCTGTAAGGAGGTGGCAGAGCTGTACCCCAAGATCAAATTCGAGACCATGATCATCGACAACTGCTGCATGCAGGTGAGCCCCCCAAACCTGAGCCCTCCTGCACCACCCCCTGCCCTGTCCCTTCATCCCTTGTCCAAATCCCTCTCCAGCTCTCCTGGAGCTCTGTTAGGCTCTGGAGCAGACCTTGGAGCTCACCCAGCCCCCCCCAGCCCTCCCTGTGTTCTGCCCCCCATCCCGTGTCCCAGGGGTAGGTCGAGCTGCCCCCCAGGCGTGCAGGGCCTCACGTGCCCCCCGTGCCCCCCAGCTGGTGCAGAACCCGTACCAGTTCGACGTGCTGGTGATGCCCAACCTGTACGGGAACATCGTGGACAACCTGGCGGCGGGGCTGGTGGGCGGCGCGGGCGTCGTGCCCGGGGAGAGCTACAGCGCCGAGTACGCCGTGTTCGAGCTGGTGAGCTGGGCTGGGGGGGCTGGGGGGCACGGGGGACACCGAGGGGGGCACGGGGCCCCTCACCGTGGCTTCTGTCCCGCAGGGTGCCCGGCACCCCTTCGCCCAGGCCGTGGGCAGGAACATCGCCAACCCCACGGCCATGCTGCTGTCGGCCTCCAACATGCTGCGGCACCTCAAGTACGTGCTGGGCTGGGCCTGGGGGGATGCTGGGGGGCTGCAGGGGGGCTGCAGGGGGCTGACCCACTGCCCTCCCCCTCCCCAGCCTGGAACACCACTCCAACGTGATCTCGGACGCGGTGAAGAAGGTGATCAAAGGCGGCAAAGTGAGTGTGGGGCGGTGGGTCGGGCGGGGCTCTGTCACCCTGCGGTGTCACTGTACCATGTCACGGGCTGCTCTGTGTCCTGGGCGGGGCTCTGGCTCCTCTCCTCTCTTCAGCTGCAATTCCAGCTCCTCTCCCAGCTGGAATTCCAGCGCCTCTTCTCTTCTAGCTGGAATTCCAGCGCCTCTTCTCTTCTAGCTGGAATTCTGGCTCCTCTCCAGCTGGAATCCTGGCTGCTCTCCTCTTCTCTCTCCTGCACTTGTCCCTGGGGTCATGTGCTGGCAAGGGAGGGACCTCCGGCAGGAGTGGGGGACCCTCAATGGCCTTCTCCCCACCCCAGATCCTCACAGGGCGCTTGAGGGACCCTCTGTGACCCCCATCCCCACCCCAGGTCCTGGCAGGGCTGGGGGACCCTTCATGGCTCCATCCCCAGGGCACTCGAGGGGCTCCTCTCTCTCCTCTCCTCTCCTCTCCCTCTGGGAGCAGTTTCCCTCGTTCACCAGCAGTTTCCCCCGTTTCTCCCCTCCCTGTGTTGGATTTGCAGGTCCGGACTCGGGACTTGGGCGGTTACTCCACCACCTCCGACTTCGTCAAGTCCGTCATTGACAACCTGCACCCCCACTATGGGGCTTAGGACCCCCGGCAGCCCCCACAGCTCCTCGGCCCCCAAACCCCTCCCCAGCCCCCCCTGCCCCGGCCCAGCTGCCCCAGTCCCCCCGGGGAGAAGGGGGGCTGCCCCTGCCCAGCCCAGTAACTCCAGTAACCCCGTCCCCCCACTCCCAGTTCCCCCAGTAGGGATGGCTCCATGAGAGGCCGGGGCGGATCTCGGGGTCCATTGGGGTGACAGAGGGGGACAGGGCAGTGCCCCAAACGCACAGGCAGCTTCCAGGGACATTGGGACCACCAGTACTGTGGGACCACCATTCCATGGCCCCTCGTGACTATGGGACCACCATTCCATGGGCCCTCGTGACTATGGGACTACCATTCCCATGGGACCCCTGTCACTGTGGGACCACCATTCCCATGAAGCTTTAAGCAATAAACGGGACCACAGGGCTCCCCCACCCTCCTTCCCCCCCCCGTCTGCTGCTGGCACAGGGACAGGGGGCCCTGTGGCTCCTGGGACCAGCCATGGTGCCACCCTGGGGGTCCTGGTGGCTCCTGGGACCAGCCCCAGTGTGAGCCCAGGGGTCCCTGTGGCTCCTGGGTTGCTGTGGGGTGGGTGCTGGGCTGTGTCATCGTGCTGTGCTCTGTAACTCTTGCTTGCTAATAAAGGGTCCAACGCTTCCCTCCGGCCGGGGGGGTCACAGCCTGGGGGGCACTGGGCTGGGGGAGAGGGGGGGCTCAGCCCCAGCCCCCCCCCATCCCCTCCTGGGGAGCAGCTCTGCCTGGGGAGGGGCTGCTCTGCAATAGGGGGGGGGGGGGGGGGGGGGGGGAAACAGGGCAGGGCGTGCCGGGGGGCCCCCCGGGTTTGGGGGGGTGGTGCCCCCCCCCCTTGGGTGGGGCAGGGGGGAGCTTCAGCCTCTCCCTGTGTCCCCACAGCTCCCCCTCCAGCCCCGGGGTGCAGGGACAGTTTGGGGGCTGCCAAGGGCCCCTGTCCCACGGCAGCACTGCCCAGGCTGGGGCTGGGGGTCCCTTTGCTGGAGTCCCTCCCCCTCCCTAACCCTCCCCTCTCCTTGCAGGTGCGCACGGCGGACATGGGGGGCTACTCCACCTCCCTGGATTTCACCCAGGCCGTGATAGCTGCCCTGGAGTGATAGCTGCCCTGGAGGGGTAGTGCCCGGGGTGGTGCCCTCCCGGCTCCTGCCCTGCCCACCTGGTAAATCACTCCTTCCCTCCAATAAAGTGGCCTCAGGCGTGACCACGGTGCCATCGTGTCCCTGTGCCAGAGGGGAGAGCGAGGGCACCCCCTGGCACACACCAGGACAGGAGGGATACACAACAACCTCAGCCCTTTATTGGGGCCTGATCAGCCCGAGCGGGTCCTGCCCCCTGCATGGCACGGGGGGGGGACACAGGGCCACACACAGCCCAAGCCCCCCAGGGCAGGGGACACGGCCCAGGGACACCCCACGTGCACCCAAACCCCCCAGGGAAGGGACACGGGAGGCTGGGACAACACTGTAAGGCACAGCCCAGGGGCTGCCGGTGCCCAAAGGACTCACCCAGGCCCTGAGGGGCCACAACACGTTCAGTGTGGCTACTGTGCCACAGGACACGCCCAGGACACCACAAGGACACAGCAAGGGGCCACCCTGAGCTCCTCCTGTCCCTCAATCTCAGTCCATCTGTCCGTGTGCTGGAGCTCCTGCTCCAGCCCTTGCTCCCTAATCCTCCTCCAAGTCCTGGGCCACTGCCTTCTTCTTCTTCTTCTTTTTCTTCTTCTTCTCCTCCTCCTCCTCCTGCTCGGGCTCCACTGTGAGTTTCCTTTTCTTCTTGGGCAGGGGCTGTTCCTCCTCCTCCTCCTCCCCCAGCCCGTTCTCCTCGGGCTCAGCCTCTGGCTCCGACTCCTCTGCCTGCTGCTTCTTCTTTTTCTTCTTCTTCTTGGCCCCCACATCATTCTCCTGAGGGGAGACCCAGGCTCAGGGGGAGCTCTGCCCCCCATCCTGCCTCCCCCACCCTGTGGGGTCCGGGCAACCCCACGGCTCCCTGTGAGCGTCCCACCCCCAGCCCCCTCCTCACCTCTGTCTCCATCACCGAGTTCTCCTCCTTTGCCTCCTCGGCCGCCGCTGCCAGGGCCTCCAGCCGCCGCTTCTCCCGCTTCTTCTTCTTCTTCTCCTTCTTCTCCTGCCTCCTCTTCACCTCAGCCACCACCTCGTTGGCCTGGGGGACACACGGGGGGCATCAGCGTGGGGAGGGTCCCAGGGCCCACCTCCACCCCCGGCACTGGTCGGATCAGACTCATTAAATCAGTCTTTTGCCTCCACAGCGGGTCAGGTTGGCACAGTGACATCACCTCCGACACGGGCCCTCACCATCATCTTCACACCTCACCCTTATCACCGCCTCCTCCACCCCCCAGCACGTTCACCTCCCTCTCCATCCCCCCAGCACTTCCTCTCCACATCCCTGTCCATCCCCCCCTGCAGCCCCCCACCACCTCCACCCCTCCCTGCAGTCTCACCTCCACCTTCTTCCTCCCCCCAGTACCTCACCCCCACCATCTCCCTCATCATTCCTACCCCTCTTCTTCATCCCCAGCACCTCCACCTGCCCTCCATGGCCCCCCAACACCTGCTCACCTCCACCACGGCCTCCTTCATCACCTCCAGGTTCTTCCTGGGGGGCTCCCCAGTCTCGTAGAAGGCCAAACGCTCCTCCACCTGCTCCCGCAGCTTGTCCCCGAACACACTGGTGGGGACCTCTGCGGGAGGGGAGGGGACAGGGTCAGCCCCCTCCTGCACCCCGAAACCCCCAGGCCCCCTGCACCCCCCGGCTCTGCTCAGCCCAACGGAGTCACCATTCACACGGGTGTGAGATGCTGCTGACGAAAAATGGTCCCATCACGGCAGAGCGGCCCCGAACCCGACCCCGACCCTGACCCCGGCTGTGCCACCGAGAAGCAGTTGATGCAGGAGGTGACAGTGCCCCCCCATGTCCCCCCATACCCCCTGAGAAGCAGTCGATGCAGGAGGTGACAGTGTCCCCTGTGCCCCCCGACCCACCCGAGAAGCAGTCGATGCGGGAGGCGATGGTGCCCTTGTTGGCAGGTCTGTCCCACCCCCCGTGCCCCCCGTGCCCCCCAACCCACCCGAGAAGCAGTCGATGCGGGAGGCGATGGTGCACTTGTTGGCCAGGTACCGCGAGATGCGCCCCTTGTTCTTGGCGGCCGCTCTCCCGATGAAGGTGGAGTGGAAGATGAGCCCGTACTTGGGGGTGTTCCCGCGTGTCTTCAGAGCCCTGCGAGGGGCCGGGGGCGTCAGGGACCCCCAGATGGAGCCCCCACTCACCCCCTCTGCCAGCAGCACCTGCTGTGCCCGTGGGACAGACCCTTCTGTTGGCCCCCAATGGGTGTGACAGCCCTGGGACAGCCCCCTCCCCTCCCTTGGCCCCCCCAGCCCCGCTGACCTCGGGGAGCCCTGGGCTGGCCCCACAGCCACGGTGGTCGCTCAGACTGGGCCCGGCTGCTCACCCCCGCCAGCCCCGGCGCGTCACAGCCGCGGCCCCGGCCCCGCCATCACCGCGACCACCCGGCGGTACCTGAACAGGGCCTTCTCGGCCCCCAGGATCTGCACCGTCGACGCCGGGTACTTGGCCAGGTTCGTCAGGCTGCCGGCGTGAGAGATGAGCCGGGCACCCACCTGGGGGGCACCACAGGGGGTTATGGGTGCCACAGCCCCACAGGGCACACACAGAGCACCCACACACACACAGAGCACACCACAGGACACAGAGACAATCCAGGGACACACACAGACCACCCAGGGCACACACACACACAGAGCCCACCACAGAACACAGAGACAATCCAGGGACACACACAGAGCACCCAGGGCACACACGTGGCTCCCCACAGACCCCCCTCCTCCCCTCCAGGCCACCCAGAGTCCCCCTCAGGTCACACAGCCCACCCCAGGGCACACAGAGCCCCCCAGGCCAGGGATCAGCGGTGAGGTGTCAGCAGCTCTGCTCAGTGGATTGACAGATTCACTCTGACATCATCTCCGTGGCCGAGGGGTCCCGGGGGTCCCAGGGACACTCACCACCTCCCCGATGAGGGCGGACAGGCTGGGGGCCACCTGGCTCATCTTGGAGCGCAGGTACTCCTGCAGCCCCCGCCGGTACTCGGACAGCGAGATCACGCGGCGCGAGAAGCTCTCGATGTTGATGAGGTCCAGGGGGGAGATGTCCATCCCTGGGGGGGGGGGACAGGGGGAGTGGCAGCACTGAACCCACAGCCGTGACCACCCCGTGCCCCCCCAGAGCCCCTCTCACCCATGGAGGAGCGCGAGGCCTCCAGGATGGCCTGGGCCTTGGCGCTGTCCATGACGATCTCCTCCAGCCCCTCCAGGCTCTCCTCGCTCAGCTCCCGCCGGTTCCCGATGAATTTGGCCACCCGGCAGTACATGGAGTTCTCGGGGACGATCTTGATCAGCTCGGGGAAGTGGTACCCATACCACTCCCTGCGGGACAGGGACGGGCTCAGCACTCACACCCGGACCCACAGCCCCCCAAGGTCCTGTGTCCCCCCAGGTCCCCGCCATGACCCTGTGTCCCCCCATGCCCTCCCCCCATGTCCCTGTGTCCCCTCATGTCCCCGCCATGTCCCTGTGTCCCCCCAGGTCCCCGCCATGGCCCGTGGCCCGGTCGGTGGCCCCGGGGGCTGTGCTGTTGCTCCCCGGTCTGTACAGGCAGCTGGAGCAGCAGCTGCCTGTGGTAAGCGAGGGGAGACGGGACCCCCAGAGCCCCCAAACCCCTCCCCGCTCACCGGACGCGCATGGAGAAGGTGTTGATGTCCTTGTCCAGCTGGTCCAGCAGGCTGATGGACTGGATGATCATGTTGTCCACACGGTGCACGTTGAACTTCACCTTGGCCCGGGAGTAGCTGTGGCCGAGCCCCAGCTGGGCCTTGGCCGCCGACTGCGCCGTGAGGCCCCGCACCAGCGCCGGGAAGTGCAGCCGGATCCCTGCGGGACAGCGGGGAGACAGGGGGGCCAGGGGTCACCAGGGGGGTCAGGGGTCACCAGGGGGGCCACAATGTGGGAACTGAGCTATCACCATCCAGGACCCAGACATCACCACACAGGGAAAAGGGGTCACCGTGGGGGGACAGGGATGACACCATGCAGGGGAGAGGGGTGTCACAGGTGTCACCACGTGGGGGACAGAGGGCTCATCACATGGGGACAGGGAGGGAGCAGAGGTGCCACCACACAGTGACAGAGGTGTCACTGTGCGCGGCTCAGGGCCAGGTCCAGGGCCAGCCCCCAGCACACCCCCGATGGCCCCCCCAGCCCCACGGTAGCCCCCCCGGGGTGTCCCCCGTCCCCACTCACCCCGCATGAGCTCAGCCACGACGCCCCCGGTCTGGCACTGCACCCCCAGCTCCTCCTGCACAGCCGCCCCCATCTTGGCGTCGCCCACCCCCAGCACCACCTTCTTCCTCTTGGGGGGCAGCGCCGTGTCCAGCAGCAGCCGCAGGTCCTCGTGCAGGACCCCTGCGGGACATCGGGAGGTCAGGGCGGGCCGCGGGAGGGTCCCTGTGCCCCCCAGACCCCGACTCACCCTCGGACACGGCGTTCATGTTCTCCAGGGCGCTCTGCGCCGACCGGAACGGCGAGAACGCCACGAGCTTCACCATGTTGTGGAACTTGCCGATCGTGAGGACGCTGTCCTCCACCTGGGCAGGGGGACGCGGCCAGGGCCCGGGGGGCCGGGCACCGGGTCATTTGGGAGGCGGGAACGCCCCGGGTGCGACCCCCGGGCGCACGGACCGCTCCCCCCGCACGGGGTCGGCTCCTCCCCGCGGGTTCCCCCAGTCCCGATCCACTCCCTCCCGTTCCCGGCCCCCCCGCTGTCCGTTCCTGTTACACACCGCTCCCGTTACACACCGCTCCCGTTACACACCGCTCCCGTTACACACCGCTCCCGTTACACACCGCTCCCGTTATACGCCGCTCCCGTTATACGCCGCTTCCATTCCTCCCCGCCCCCCTTCTCGCTCCTGTTCCCGTTCTCATTCCCGTTCCCCGCGCTCCCCGCTCCGTTCCCTCTCTCCCGCTGTCCCCGCTCCCGCCCCGTACCTGCGGCAGCTGCAGCCCGATCTCCTCCACCTCCCGCACGGCGAACAGCGCGTACCCGGCCGCATGTTCGAACAGCACGTGCAGCAGCACCTGCGGCGGCACCGGGGACGGCGCTCAC